CATTTCTAAATAAAGCGCTAATACTAATAAAAGAATAACCAACGTCAGATTTGAATTAAAACTTTTTCCTAAAGAAGTTTACATTTCGGGAGGGATAATTGAATGATTTTTCTGATTAATTAATTTTAATTATAGCTATAAATTAAATTCTTTTATTTATAGGTGCGGTACGAGAATTTCAACGAAATATGGATGAGCTTCGACGTGCCATCCATGCAAGTCGTGATGCAACAGATGCAGAAGAATTCAGCGAATATTTATATGTCAACTTTTATTATTACCAATTTTGCTGTAATGAAGAAAAATGTTCTTTGTTATGAGATTCTTTTATTTTCTCATTTTAGAATTTGGAACATTTATGTGAAACAATGGAAACGGCCGACAAAGAATTAGAGAATTTATCTGGAATAAATGAACGAATGGCGAAAGATGTTAGTTTCTTCTAATTCATTTTTAAAAAACTGAAAGGAGCAGCAAAATTGAAGAGACAAATCTTATTTAAATTTAGCTAACGATCAGATGCAACAAGATATGAAGAGAAAGGATTGATTCTCATAGCTATTAAAATGAAATATTATAAAGTTGTAGAGTTTATTCAAACTGATGAAAGTCTGTTTGTAGCTTAATCATGTACGTGAACAGCGTCATGAAGTATTGGTGCAGGCAAAGGAACGTATCGAACAACTTGAGGCAGCTATTCATAACTGTGAACAGTTTGACAGTTCCTTAACCGAATGCCAAGCCTGGTGTAATCATGTGCAGCTGATCTTATCATGCCGAGTTGCAAATGACATTTCTGCATTGGACGTACCTCATGAATACAAGGTAAATATTAATTTAGCTGCTTGATTGATTACTGCTGGAAACAAAGTTGAAATGTATGAGAGGCTAATCACACTCAAAGTTGAAATGTATGAGAGGCTAATCACACTCAAAGTTGAAATGTATGAGAGGCTAATCACACTCATTCTTTGCGTCGCAATTTATACGAAATACTTTATGTAATACACGGATCTGTTTACGTATTTGTCATAGAAATACCAAAAATTTTATCATTTATTTTGAATGTATTACATGACGCTTTCAAATTAACTTCAAATAAGTAATCAACAATTACTAACTGTTAATTGAAATAAATTTTTGAACTAACCATAAAACTTAAATATGATTTTTTGTTAAATACTAAAGAATATGATGAATTGCGCGCCAAATAGCATACAAATAACTGAAAATGATGTTTAGACTATTAACGATTTAAGATGAGAATAAGTAGATGAACTGAGGATGATTAAGAAGCTATGGCATAGCACTGAATATTTCTACGGATATAGGTGAGCATGATATAGCGGACGGGGAGAATGTACTTATTCTGACTTCAAATGGTTGACAGAATCAATTGATTCTTCGTTTGCAGTTTATTTTCAACAGTTAGCATCTATCGTATTTTAGTTGTGCTTTAAAAACTTAAGCTAACTTATGCTTAATATAATGTTTCCTTGTCTTGTCGTTTTAACTTTCACTTTTTTGATCGCAATGCGTGAAATAATGTTGATGTCACTTATATATTGCATCAGATTAATATTTTAGATTTCGAGATTAAAAAATATTTCTTTAATTTCTTTAAATTTTTGAAATCATTTCATCAGCAATCCTCGATGATTAATGTAATCATCCATATTGGCCTCATCTTAGCTGACACAGTTTCAATAATCAAATCGTTTTATGTGATGTTATCGATAGCCCGAACTATTCCATTACAACTAGTATAAATGCTAAACAAAATGAAGCTCCAAACAGTGGCATGATATTAAAATTTAAAGAAAAAAATTCAAAAATGCTTGAAAAATTCCTGATTGCTTCGCTACTGTCACTTTTTATGATGATCTTTGCTTCTATTTGTTTCTTTTATCGTTGTAAGAATTTTATTCCAATTTTTCTGCCAACACTGTCATCAACCTTTCAGCACTAGTTAAAAGTTCTCATTTCAGAATGCTTTTTCCGACGGAACGCTTATTGCGGTGAGTTCAAAAGCACTTCTCTTTAGGAATTTCATTCTTTCTCGCTTTTTTCAACGGTCTGTTGGGTCATTTTTCTTTTTGCTTTATTGCATATTTGTGTTCGTCCTAATTCTAAAATTAAAAAATATCGCGAATTTATTTGCATGCATATTGTTAAAAGGAAGGAGAAATGCGCTATTGTCAAGGGATGGACTTTGAGGAATGAGAAAAGAAAAGTTCAACAAAATTATTCATTCTGGCCAATGATTTTTTCTTTTATTTAAAAAAATTGCAATTCATTTTATGCAAACATTTTTATCCTTCCCAAATTTCAGCAACTCCAAAAGGAATTCAATGATTTCGAGTACTGCATTAATGATTTACGAGAATTCGTTGTTAAAAATACCAGTGACTGGGGTACACCAAATCGTTTACAATTACAGCTGGATCATATTACTGTAAGTTCTAGAATTAATATTTTTTTAAAATGATTCTGGTCTCATGACACATTTTCCATGTTTGAAATACGTTTAGCCATAGTTTTAGCACTTTGCTAATTATCAATTAATCTTTATCTGCTACTTCCCAGTAACTTTTCAGTGCTATTATCACAAAATCAAGTGAAAGCATATTAACACTGAATAATGGATTAGATATTTCCACTTACTTCTTGCAGTTTGTTTCTTTTAACTCAGACTATTTCCGCACTTACAAGGGCAGAAAAAAACCTTAAGAGTAACCTGAAGTGTAGAATGAAGCGCATCCTATTTTAATTTGAGTGATCAAAAAGTGGCATAAATAAGACTTATTACGATAATTTATTAAAGACAAGTGAAAATTCCAAAAGACACTTGTTTTATTTTTTATTCAACCACAAATCACTGCTTGTTTACTCCTCTTTCTCTTTTGCTTTCTTCTAACCGGCACTGCTGATAAGTTCTCTAATTTCATTTTACTTATACTTTTTGCATCAAAACCGATTAGATACGAATTAGCCCGATGGAATGCTATGTTATTCATTGGATAATTCATGAGATTATTATATGTTCAAATCTAATTTTAGTATTTATTCTTTACTATCATTTGTACTATCAATTCAGCGTTAGATTGTCAGTAACTTTTAAGAAATTTCAGTTATTCATTTCTTCCAAATATGACAAAATAAATCGTTCGTATTTTAAAAATAACTTCGTGTTAAGCCTTATTATATCTAATTGGATCATTTCTTACTAAGGTTTATTCTACTTATACAATTTTGTTCACAAGTTCTTGAAAAATGATTCTTCTTTCATAGAATCAATTCGAAGATTTGATGGCGAGATTTGCTGAGTTCAAGCAACCAATTGGTTTAGAAGAACGAGCAGAAAGATTATCACAAGAAATATCAGATATGGAAAATAGTGTTGACGAATTGACGGGTGTGCAAGCGGAGAGTTGTAAACAAGCTCTGGATCACACCAGTGAAATCACTAGAAGACTTGCTATGGTTTAGTTTTTCCCTAAATGAACTATGTAAGAACTGAACTAAGTGTTGCTCATTATCATTTATAATCACTAGTGAGAAATTGATTTTTAGAAGGCAATTACCATATAACATATTTTTTCATTTATAAAATTTTGTTTCGTTATGATTCTGAGAAAATGACAAATATCTCTACAAACATTGTTTGAATATATTTTGTTCAGGCAAGAATACATTTGGATGAACTAACTGAATCCGGAAAAATGTTTGCCAAAGAACAGATTTTAACTGCAACTGCTGCGCAAATTTTAGACAAGAAAATTAGCAAATTGGATGAGAAGCTGAAGAATTTAAGTGCAAGGGTTTGTTTTAATGATGGACTGAAACGGTTTTGCCTGAACAATTAGTATTCTTCCCGTATCTCGGTCCCGCATATGTCCCCGATTATTATTTTGTTATATCCTGCAATACGGTCATTTCATGACTGTTAACATTCTAATCGATCGGTAATTCTTATTAAAAGATGAAATATCATCCTTAATTTTGCATATTCGCTCGTTTCTTTAAATTTCAGAGAAAAAAATTTAAAAGAAGCAAAAATTATGCATTTATTTTTTTCATTAGATTTAAAACTTTTAAAGAATACCGAAATGGCAGAACGTATGGAAAACTGTGTAATATCATTGGACGTTCTAAACAATGACATGAAAAAATTAGATGCCGTATTCGAGAGTGTAGAATCGAGACTGAATGCTTTCGTTCGGTCAGAAAACATAGAAACGGTAGATGCGGATCGAGCAACCTTGGAAGAATTAATGGATGACCTCAATAAGTAAGGAATTTTGACAAAAAAATTACCTAATCTTTGTGCTCAAGTTATTTATTCTCTAAATTTAGGGGTACGTTACTGTTGTCGAAGGCTGAAAATGTCATGCAACGATTGACAATGGACTCATTCAAAGTTGATGAAAGCATAATAGAGCAGCGGAAACGTCGAGCTGTACGCTTGCAAGGCGATTTACGATCCTGGATTGATGCTATTAAAGTAAAATTTTCAATCTTTCCTTATGTGTCATTAATTTTTTTGAATTTATAAAGTTAAAATATAAGGTCGAGGGTTAGAAGTTCTACTACTGTTTATTGTCACTTTATAATAGAAAAAAAAAAAAAACTGTAATAAAACGAAAATAAGAATTTATAAATTCAAAAATTTTGGTTGATGGTTGATCGTTATGAAATTTTACCTATGATTTATTTTGCTTCTGATTTCCATTGTCTCAGGCTTATCTAAACAATAATTAGTCCTTTGATTAATGTCTCCAACTTTTAACAAATTTTTTTAATCAAAACGTTTACTGATGAAATTTCCAATGTATTTTGGGATATATATGAAGTAGACGCAATCTGCACCGCACTTCACGATTTCACGATACGCTGATATCACAGTTTGTTGTTATTTTCAGTGTGTCAGTGAGGACAAGACAGCACTGTTACAAAAGTTCGAAACTTTGCATAGTCAGCTGAAAGAATCTTTGGCAGAAATGGAACAAATTGAAAATACCGAGGTTAGAGTTTTTAATTTATTTGTTTATTTACCGTATTTCCATCAGCAGTCCATTCTCACTTCGATCAATTTTTTTGAGGAAGTTTGCTGAACGAGCGTTTAACACCTTAGCTTGGTTGTCAGTTAAAAATTTCACTTTGTAAACTCCTTTATTTTTATCTAAAAATCAAAAAAAAAAAAAAAAACATTGTCAGTTACCTTATTGTAAGTTATCAGGTTTTATTTATTTTTCTTTTTCTTATTTATTATATCTATTATTTTTCTATTGTAATTTACTTTTTTTCTAGGTGTTGCTAGCTGCACTAGACAGGTGCAGATCGGATAAGAATGTTTTCATAGGACGATATCGTCGATTATTAAGATCAGATCCGGAAGCAGAAACAAAATTTTCAGTGGTCCTTTCGGAAGTTAGTTTTTGCCAAAATATTTAAGTGTTTAGGATATATCTGGAAGCAAAATATTATTAGAGTGAACCTGAAACGATTTGAAGATTATAAAATGAAAGGTCGTTTATATTTTTCTTATTTATGATTGCTTTGCACTTTATATTCAGCGTGGAGCAGGTATCCCAACCAATGAAATGTAAATCAAAAACTGAGTAGATTTATTTCACAGATCGAAAAGCGCTGGAATGAGATGGAGAAGAAATGTCAAAAAGCGCGAAGCAGTTCACCTACTGGATCAGCACCTCCCCAACTGCGTCGTGATACTATCCAAGGAGATTTTCGGGATCAGATCAATTTATTACATGATTTATACAAAGTTGCTAATGATTATCTGGATTTTGAACGCTTTCCGGTTTCCTCCGTAAATGAGTGGTCGAAACGTGTTCAGGTTTGGGAAAATATTCTTAAGAAACTTCCGAATAATATTCATAACATGACCTGTTTACTTTGAAAATACTTCAGTCAGCAATGAATATTGTGCTGCTTTAAATGATGCCACTTTAATCTTCTTTTTCTCGCTTAAATAAACAGTAAACGTTATGGCGCAGTTGTTACTTTAGGATGTTGACGAGTGGCTTCTTGATTACACGGAAAGATTGAAGGAAGTGGTTGAGGAAGGGCGTCGGTTGGCGAGTAGCGGTCGTATGGAGCTGGATGTTCACGATGCCTTAGGCAGTCTGGACGGAGTTGTTGATTTAGCAAATCAGGTGCTGTAACTACTTTTTTCTTGATGAAAATTCGAATTTAAAATTTTTAAGCAAAGAGATTTTTCAAGGCTCTCGAAATTGAGTTTTATTTTAGTTGTCACGAAAATCCTTACCAAAAATAATATTAAAAATTCTTTAAAACCTGCACTACCGTATATAAATATCTTAAGAAGGGCTTTTTTTTTCTGATTTTTGTTTCATTTAATGTCCTAACCAATTTAGATAGAAGGAGCCTTGAAGGAAAACAAAACAAATTTATTTCCTATACGAACTAAAGCGGAAACTTTAGAACGAGACATCAGCGCAATATGGGATATACTGGACAAGTTTTCATCCCGCGATTTATCGGAATCGGCTGTTGCCAATGTCAGATAATTAATTTGTGTAAATTTAGAAATAGGTGGAGGAAGAAAGCGAACATTTTGGCTAAATTTTTAACATTTAGTTTTTCAAGACATAAATTTTGAAATTGAAAATTGTAATCTCCAAAAAATTAGCACATGTATCAGTAAAAAGTTACAATAAAAGCAAAGAAATTCAACTGAGGGCAAAAATCAAGAATGTGCTGCAGCAGCTTTGAGCTATTTCAATTGTTTTTTAGTTTTCCTCAGAAGTAACATTCCGAGTTATTCTATCAAGCCAGTCATACTATATGAATATGAATTCAAACTTCCATCCATTGGGAATGATTTTCATTCTCAGTCAGAATTTATGAAACTTGAAACTTTTGAACAGATCAACAAAAAATATTTGTTCATTTACTAAGTTTTGAATACTGAATATTGTATTTTCATTTTTTTTTTTTTGATAGTACTCCATTCCATTTGTCTCGACATGAGGTCGTTATGGAAGAGACTTTCAGTTAGGAAAGAATACCTTCAAAATAGTGATTGTGCTCAGATGACATTATCGGTTATCAGCTTGCAAGGATAGAGTCCCCCATCGTTAACGATTTAATCAACGCCGGTGCTTTGAAGGATAAGCATTCTCGGGTGTCAGCATATAATCAAACACTCTTGATAACCACCAAAGCACAAAGAGGATTCTAGAATGAGAATCTTGCTAGAGCTAAACTTCAGAGAAGAATGAAATGTTAAGGAAGTCGGGGTTGCATTCAGTTATTGGTAATACAAATCTCTTTCTCTAACTTGAAAATTAAATAATTTTTTGAAATTCTAGACTACTCAACGTGATTTACTGGATCAACAAACGCAGCTAGATTACTTGCAACGACGAAGTGATGATTTGCACAGTTGTCTACCTGGAACTTCCGGAAATCAACCAAATACAATAATGGATAAAGTTCATGATAAAATTCATGATATAGAAGAGAAAATAAATGCATCAATCAGGAAAAGTAAGCAGAATATAAAAGTACAAACAGATAAGCCATCAGAAGTAATTCAATCGAAGGAGCAACAAGAAGTGGATATAATTTCAACTACTAGTACAGGTGGACAATCACTTACCCTTGAAGTACAGGTAGGATTGTATTCGCTTATTTTGCTACACATTAATTTTAATGGAAGAAATAGAGCACTAATCTTTATAGTGAACTTCTATGTTCAAATTGCTCGTATAAATTGTTTTTAACTTTCCAAAAAATTTCAATTCCGGAAAAATATATTTTTGCTACGTCGATATCTCAGGAAGCAGAAGATGACGAATCAAGAGCGGAATTAAAGAAAACGGAATCAAATAGTTCTGAACCTTTGGTAATGGCAATGAAAGTTAACGTTATCGAAGCATCTGAATCGCTCATGTCTTTGTTCATCGAAATGGATGAAATTGAGAAAGAATTAAGTCGAGATGATCCATTACCTTTCAAAGATTTACATCTGAAGATGCAGAAACTGGAGGTTTGTAAATGAAGGAACATTGTGATTCTAGTCATTCATTTCCTACTTCTTTTCATAATAACAGATTGTGCCATACGTGTGACCATGGTCATCGCAATCCTTTTCCGCTCTCGTTTGAATGAATGACCCCAGCATAACCTTCGAAGCAATTCATCAGTATTTTTGGCTGGATTCTTGCTTTCTGTACGATTCGTTATTGAAATTCCTGTGTTTCTCTTAGTCTTTCTGTTGTGCACCACTTTTCCTAGGATAACTAACAATAGTGTGATTAGAACACTAGCTTTTCTACTCTTTCTTCAGTTTTGTTAACTGGCAACAGTGCTTATTATTGACATATCATACCCACTAATCTGCTCTGTCTTTCTCTTAGGTGAGTTTCCCTGTATTCAGGTTAATTATTTCACTTCATCCATCATTCAATAGTTTCATAAGAAGAAAGAACAACGGGGAATTATGTCGTTACTAAATACCACTTGCTTATTTTTAAATTATATTTGTTTAAACGGATTTCATCAAACAAGTCATTGAAGCGATGTTCAGTTCAGTTTGATTCACTATAAAAGATCTAAACCTGGCTAATTGTATGTAAAACATATTTATTCGGTTTAACAATAAGTGCTTGAAGATTGGTTGAAAATTAATCTGCCAAAAGATGTTTAAATTTTTCTGATATGTCCCTTTAAGATTAGAACTTTTAAGATGGATTCATTGCATTTGATAAAAGGAAGAAACTTTACAATTAAAAAATAACTGTGAAATTTGTTTCGTTCTGGCTTTTATGACATTTTTTTTTTTTTTTGATTGGATGATTGTTTTAGCAACCATTCAATTTTCATCCATTCAGAAAACCATTCTATTCGTTCTTAATAGTTACTAGTCTGATTTAACTTTATTTCTTATTGGAAATCTCGCAATATTCAAAAAGTATTGAAATTGATGAGATTCATAGCGAATTTTTTTTTTTATACCAAAAGAGAATCTTTAATTCTATTTGAAAGATTTCTTTGTTCAGCTGAAGAGAGAAGAGAAGAAAGGGTGTCTTTTCGAAGGAAATACTTGAAAATTTTGTTTCTTTGTTTGTAGAAAGAGAAGACACTAGTTGGTTCGCATTTGTACTAAACTAACAGCTATTCTTCAGTAAGCTCCAACAATTAATTAGTCTATTGTATCGTTGTCATTTCATTTATCAATGCAGTTATGAATTCCTCAGCCACTATTTATTTCCTATTTAATTACTTTATTTATACTAATAAGCCATTTCTGAAATCGCTTATTTCAATTCCCTTATTGGTACCAGTTGTCGATCGGAATGAGTGGTCAAAAATTAATCAAAATTATTAAAATTGCAATAATTTAAATTTATATGATTTACATAACCAGGCATAAATTTAACCTGGAAATTCGAAATTCATACATTTTTTTTTTCTTACATAAATTTCTATGTCAGCATCAATACATTTTTATTTTAACTTCATTCTTCCGGTCAGAATCACTGTCTAAGTTGATTCGTCTTTGTTTATACCAGTCTTTACTTCATCTGGAATAATTTGCAATCCATTTCATTAAACTTCCATTTTCGTCCTAACTTCCCTAGGGGCAGGGAGGTAAAGCTTTACTCTATTTGAACCAATTTATTACCCAGTTTTTAGGAAATGAATGAAAGTTTCAAAAAGGTTGAACGTGCAATTGATGATTCACAGATGACAATGGATTTGATAGAAAATGAAGCGGCACATGAGCGACTTAAGTCACTTCGAGATTGGAAGGATCGCCGCACGAAGTAAGCAATCTTCGTACATGCTTTTCTGACATTTAGGTATTCCCATGTTCATTAATTTAAAAGTAAAATTTCTTGAATTCGGTCTCGACTTTTTCGGCATCTTCATCATAAGCATTGATCCTAACTTAATTTTGTGAGCATCGGAAAGGTCACAGACTGCTGGAAGAATAGGATGGACAATTGTGTAAGTAGTTTACTTGTTGCTGAAGCTCTTTTGAATGTTAACATCTTTGTTTAATTTAGTCAACTTCAACAATTTCAGAAATCCAATCAAAATAGGAGTAAATATGCATGTATTGTTGTTGGAAAAAAGGGAGAGAAATGTCTTTTGATGCATGGATTTAATTTACTGAAAATGATAAAATGATTCATACTTCGACCATCTTCTATGTGAGTAAATTCTAGCGATGTCACGTCTAATCCTATAATTTTTTCAGTGAAATAAATAAACTGATTAAAGCCGAAAGTAGCCTGGAGGAAAACATGAAAATCAGTCAGAAACTACTAGATGAAATTGGTAAAGCACTAGCTGAAATAGATAACCGCGAAAAATCACCGGAGTTGGAAGAACTAGAGCATTTTGCATTTTCTTTAGAGGATCGATTACAACGGGTCTTAGCACAAATACAACACACTTCACTAAAGGTTATCTTTCTCAATTTTTCCAGTAAAAATTAAGGTGCAAAAAGAGGAAAGAAGGAAATCAGTTATTCATTTCTTAAATATCATATTCTTATGATAACTTCTTTCCTAGTAGTCTACTGCCAGGAATTACTGTAAACAGAAATTTAAAACTGTGATAGTGTCAGTTAGAAGATGATATTTGACATGAAGAAGCTTTCAACAAATCATTCTTTCATCTATGCTACCGATTTTATTTAGTGCAATGCATACTTTAAATTGTACCGTGATACAAATGGTACTTCTCCAAATTCCAATTTAGCAACCTCTACCCAGCAAGCATTGTAAATAATTTTAGATGTGTTATACTCATGCCTTTGATTGAAACGAATCTTGATTTAGCGAAAAGTAACACTTTTCTTCTGCTACATATGATACAAACAGGTGCAGTTGAAATGTGCCGGAAAGAAGTCAATGAAAAGCAGAATTAAGTTCGACTACTCATCTTTTGGCTAAGCTATCAATGATTTAGTGAAAGCGATATCTCATAGAAATTAGATAAAGTCCTAAATAATTTGAAATTTTAAATAATTTGAAATTTGGTATCTTTACTTTGAAATAAACAGATGAATGTTTAGGCAGAACCAATACTAACACATATAAATGAAGAAGAAGCCAGTCAACTTCGTGATAGGTTACAAAGAATCGGTGAACAGTGGAAAGAGTATGAAAATCTCATTCGGGAAAAGAGACGTAGATTGGATGAACGTTTTGCGGATGAATCGGAACTGAACAACGAAATGGAATTACTCCAATTTTGGTGTGTAAGTAGAATATTTTAAAAGTAGTCAGTTAAATATGATTTAGGTATAATGTGTCGAATGCTGTTTCAAAGTTTTGATTGAAATTAACAACTTAGATTTTTGAATTAGTGATATGTAAATTTTTTTAAAAGTCAATTAATTATGAAGATACTAATTGATATTCTTTCTTTTGATTGGTTTAATTTGCTTTAACGGCAGTTTCTACTAGAATAAAAAAAAAAAAAAAAACTAAAAGAAACCCTTATTGAATAACAAAAATGCAAACAAATAGGCATAAAATAACTCTTAACACAAAGACCCAACAAAAACATAACTGCCATCCTAAATAATAAATATAAAAAGATTTAAACTCGATTCTTTTTCTTTTGAATAGTTTCAAAAATACCTGAACATAATAAATAAACAGGAACATCCAATAAGCAAAGTAAAATAAAACACCAGGATACTGAAAAGCATGACTTGCGAAAAACTGACAAGCTTTGGTTGAAGACTCAATTACTCTACTGGGTACTGTAATTAGTCGAATATTTGAAATATTTTTCTGTTAATGGATCATATTTCTTTTGAGTAGACTTTTTGAAATGATCAGAACTTATCAATTATAAGCTATAAATGGGTTATTTCTAATTGGTAAAGAGAGAAATACAGAAAGATTTGAACCCGATTCTTTTTCTTTTAAATAGTTTCATTTTAATTTTTTCATATTGCCGAAAAGTATTTGAGCTATGAAATTATTTCTGACTATGATTGAAGGTGTGATGAAACAGAAACGGAATGTGCCATCATTATTAGTCCGTTGAATTTGCCTGTTTTAAAAGAACTTGTGTTGAAATTGGAGGTAAAATTTCTTTTTGTCACATGTTACTTTATCTCAAAGTTATGCTTTTTAGAATTTCCCATTGACATCTTATCGTAATAGCAAAGACCGAGTGTCAATTAGCATTTAGTTTGCTTTCTAATTAGGCTATTTGCAATTCCTAAGAGAAAAATAGAATTTAAAAAAAAAGTTGGTAATAATATCAACAATAAAACATTCGGCTAAAAAATCAAAATATTTCTTTTTTCCTCTATAAATTAGTTACAGGAACGCTTACACAGCTACGAAATGAAGCGTGCAAATTTGCAAGCCATTGAGCGTTTGAAAGATCATCTAATTAGTGCGCAATTGACGGATCCAAGCAGCAAACATCGAATACGGCGAGCCGTATCAGAAATTGGAAAGCGTCTTAGCTCGGTAGATTATTTTCCATATGGTATTTTATGATGGAAACATTATTTTCTAGAAAAAGCTTCATAATAATTAATAACGTTGGTGGAATTTCATTTGCAGCAAATTTCCCATCTGTCCAAGTCTTCTCTTTATGCTGAAATCGTTTCTAAATTGTTCGCTCTTTTTTTAAGCTGTTCCAAATATTTTTGATTTTTTCCTTCAAATTTGTCAAGTAAATATTTCTCATAGTGAAGACAACAATGCTAATATGTTGAAAGGCAGTGGGCATTTTCTTTTAAATCTAATCTAAACATGTTTTCTTGGTTTTTACTAGAAAAAAAGTAGTGCTTTCAGATCCGAAATCTTCTGCGTGACCGAAAATCGGAACTTGACAATGCCGTGAATGCTGCGGAAAATTTCCAAGATGATCTGAAAAAATTGCAGAACTTTTGTGAGCGAACGGAAAAAGCGATTCAGTTGTAAGTCTATTTAAAAAGATCATTATCAAAAGATTAGTGCTAGAATAATCGTTATCATGGTCAATCGATTTTTTTTTTTTTTGCTTGTTCGCTTTTATTTCTAGTTTTTGCATTTAGAAATGTCTTATGTACCATTTATTCTTCGTTTAAATTAGCTCATTTTGCTGGAAAAGCTGAAAACATATCACTTAAACATTTTGGAAATACTTGGTCCATTTGAAACACTCCGATTAGCTAATCAAAATCATTTCATTTATTACATTTTAATTTTATTTTATTTCAGTTCATAAGCCTACAAAATTAGATGGTAGACAAAACAAATCAAATTCTATCAACAAATCGAAAAAAAGCATTCATTTTTATTTTAAGAAATGTTTTAGAGTAGAAAGTGCGACAATTTTCGTACCATCCGGTACTGATTTGGATTACGTCCGTTTGCACGAGCGTGAAACTGATGAAATTGCTATCAGACTGGAAAAGCAATGGAAAGAAGTTTCTTCATTAGGTGAAGCAGTGATCGATGAACAGTTTGGAATTGTTAGTTTTGATAATATTTTAGAAAATTTGACAATATAATGGAAAGTAATTAATGAATACCTTCACTCAATTTTGAGATATCACTCATAATATCAAATTATAAAAGAGGTAATGATGTTACCAAACCAAAAAAACAGAGGCGTATGTAGTCTAGGCCTTATCACAACTTATTATAATATATTGATAACGACCGGTCTTCGAAAATAATTGGATTTTCAATCTGAATATGTGGAAAGACACTCAAACTTTAAAAAGAGTTTCAGATTTTAATTGAATGCTTTATGGAATACTTTTGTTGTGAATTCGCTTGTGAAAAGAAACATTAAAAGAAGTTAGAGAGTTTTTTGATCTAAGCGTAACTTTCTTTATATGCTAAGATTGTATATTGAAATTTTACATCCTTTTGGAAGTATTTGCAGGTCGTACAAGATACCTTACGTAAATGGATGAGTGATAAGGAAAAACTGGCTGTCACTGCTTGCTTGCCAACTTTAGAACACGATTCATCCTCAGTAACCTCAGGTAAGTTTTCGGTTTCATCTCATTTAAACAGAATGTTTTATAATGTTTTGAATTCATGAAATATCGGGCATACCAACAAGGCCTGTATAAGAAATTTTGTTTCTTTTTTAATTTTAATGATTTAAGAAAGAGTTTAGAAAAGGTTTGTATTTATTCTTCCTATCTGAATTCTAAATGAAATTTATTTCAGAAGCCGTTGGCGAAGAAGAACTGACCAATGAAGTACGAACTACTTTGTCGAGTATTGCTGAAGAAAAAGAATCTCACACAAGTGAGTATGGAACTTTAAATGAATCTGTGGTGCTTGAATCTATTGCATCAAATCTGTCACCCAAAGAGCGGCTTCTAATGGACACCATAGTACATATGGGACACTGGTTAACGGAAACGGAACGTGACGCATCTTTGACCGTCGATTTGGCCGATTCGGAAAGCATAAGAAATGCAGTCATTCAAATGCAGGTTTGTTTTTTGAGCAGTTATTGTTTTTTTTTTTTTTTTTTCTAAGAAAACTAATTTATAAACACGAAATATGAATGATTGTTCATTTTTATAACAGAATAGGATTCAGATAATATTTCTTGGCCTGAAAAAAACTATAAATATTCTACTTAATAAGTACGAAATTTAATGTAAAGCAATGTTAATTGTTTTATCATGCTTCTTATATAATTTAAGACTTTACTGAAATTAATATTTTCATTGGAAAAAAATTATATGAATTTAAAGAAATCACTGCAATTTTAGTTGACTAGTGTTTCAAAAAAGTCCTTTTCTTTTTAGGCTTTTATTGATCAGTTAAAAATGCGCTATTTGGATTTAATTCGAATTTTGGATGAAAGTCAAAATAAGGTAATACGGGAAAGGAGTGAGGTAATGACTGTGGAGTGTAATAGGATATTGGGTGAATGTCAGAAGCGAAAAATGACATTAACTAAAATGCTGGAAGAAAGTCGAGCTTGGGATAAATTAAGAAAATCTTTGAGTACATGGCTTGCTAATGTTCAAGAAAGGTTTGTTTTCCGGAAATGTTTAAGAAAGTGAGAAATTAGGGGCCAAATTTCCAATCACGAAATTTGACTTTACGTTATTCTCTTGCCATTGCTTTGATAACTTTAGAATTCATCATTTTTCTTACTTTTGTTGCTTCTAATAACGCAATAAATAATTGGAAATAAGAAGAGTGTTTTTACAGAGTAGCTGATGGCAGTAAGGTGGATGCAGCTGACCTACAAACACTCAAGCAAGAGCTTAGCGAGATTCAAGGAATAGCTGAAATAGCGGGAGAAATGAAATTCAAGATGGATGAACTGAATGAGAGTAGCAACGCTTTATTGGATAATTACCGCGCTGATGAAGGACATAACTTATCTCACACAATCTCAAGGCTCAATGCTTTATGGAGTAAATTTAACGACAAGTAAGAATTTGCTATTTTCAAGTTTAGACTCTTATATTACATCCTTTTGACCTATATTACATATGAATTTAAATGCTTTTGTTTAAAACTATCCAACTAGTGGATAAAGGATTTAATTTGAAAGCTAATTTTTTGTCTATCTTATGAAAGTCAAACATAAGTCTTTGTTCACGAATGTAACAAGCAAAAAGGAAGCACTAAATTTTTTCTATAAATTTCCTTATGGTTTTTTAATTTGCTAAGTTGACTCTTGAAATTTCCTGAATTTGGAAACATAAAGGCGACCAAAGTGGTAAGGAGATTGCCAATTTATCCCATAGTTCAGGTAGTTAAAAAATGAAAGGAAATGAATGGATGGATGATAAGTTAATTGCAGTGTTCGTATTCGTCGGGCGGTGTTAGAAGCAGCTCTTCGAGCTAGAAGTGATTTCTATTCCTCTCTAGAACAACTGGAAGAATGGATGAATAGTGTTGAGATGTCTTTGGTAGAGCTCAATGAAATGACAATAAATACACAGATGCTTAAAGATTCTGTTAAAAGAAAGAAATGGATCGAAGATGAGAAGGTGAAAGTTCATACAACTTTTAAAAATTATTAACTACACTGAGTATTCTTTCAGTTTTTTTGATTTATAGGAAGAATTTTAAGCAAGGAGAAATTCTTTTTGAAAGCAATAAAGAAGTTAAGTTAAAACTTCATTGATTTGCAAAGTTAAGCAATGATAAAAAGAAATTTTTTTTTTTAATTTGAACTGTGTTGTTTCCCTGTTACAGATTATAGAGAAGAGACTCTTCAGTTGTCAGTGCCGGTATGTCGGGATATTGAGATGCAGTGGAAAATATTTGTTAACTACAGTCAGGAAAAGCAGTAATAAGTTAATAAAATTACAGAGTATACGAGCTGATATGAATGCTCATAAGGATGTTATCGGATCAGTGGAAGATATGGGTGCTCAACTGACATGTCGAGTGGAAGATCTTAAAGAACGTGAACATCTCAAAGAGCGGTTAAGTCATATCGATATCAGATGGCGACATCTGGTCGGATTAGCTGATGCTATCAGGTGGTTTTTTTTCTTTCATAATTTTATTTTGTATGATCCAGAAAAATTTATAAAAGCGCTTTAGTAATATGTGCAAAATCCAAAATCTCTTTTCCATAACAATGTCATTGTTAATATATAAATTGATGCTACTTTGCTGTGATGAAATTATTTATTATTCGTTTTGATCCCAAATTATTCGTAAATTTTGTTTTATGCGCAAGTAATTTTGACTGCATATATTATCGACATTAATCTTCATTTCTGACCCATATAGTACTTATACTTGCCTTCCTAGTGTTCGAAAGTATTAACTCATCCAGAATGCTTGTAATAATCACATTTATAGGACACAAAGTGAGTGAATGTTGTTTAACCTTTAAAATATTAATAAGATGAAGAAAGTCACTAGCATTTTTTTCTTCTGACAAGAAGTTACATCAATAAATCCATTCCCCACTTTTATTCCTTCCTAATAGTTCACTTCCAGAATCCGTCTAATGAATGCTCAGGAAGAATGGGAAAAATTATTCACGCAGTTGGCTGAAAATTTGTTTTGGGCTGAAGCACAAAGTAAAGCATTACTTGAAGAACAGCCAGTGGGTGGTTCGCTGGCTCGGGTACAAGAACAAACCAGTTTCGTCCAGGTATTATTTCACTTATCTGTTTTCATTCATGACTTTATAAACAAAAAAACACATAAATTAGGAACCATTATTCTTCCATGTCCAGGAAATTGGGCATATGATGCTTTGCCTTTAGTAGAACTAGTTATTTTGAATTAATTAAATAACTTTCATAGGCTCTGGTTTGATGCGCTTTTAATAGTAAGTAAATTTATTTTGAAAAGTGTAATCTATTCTTCTTAGGAATTAATTTCAAATTTTATTTTCGCATATCACCGAAAACGTTTTCAATCCTTTTTTATTTTAGTTTTGAAAAGTGGAAGAAGTCTTTTTCTAGAAACTTGAACATGAAATGAAGCTTCGTCAGCGTGATGTTGACGAATGTATAACATTGGCCCATAGTTATCTTATGCAGCATGACCTACGACCCCGAACGAGAAGTACCAGCGTTTTGTCGCCAGATAAAGAAAATGGCCAGTATTTTTGTTCGTTCATGAAATAAATTTGAATGACTTTGCAGTGGCATATTGTAACGCCAGACTTCACATAAACACATCTTGTAAAATGTGCCTGTTTACGCAATCTTCGAAATAATAAAAGGAGCATATGTCAGAAATAATTTTTCCTTCGATAAGCAATCATTAAGATTTTAGAATAGTTTAAAAGTAGAAAAGTGGAATCAGTTAGTGACTCATGCATCTTCTGATAGATATTTGAATAGAAAAATGCAAATATTTATTTAACTTAGAATATTAGCAACTGTACGGATGGTTTATTTTGAAATGACTGATATTTATTTAAGCCAAGCATTTTATCGTTTCAGATGATGAGAATGCGGAACTAAGACGTGTCGGTATTCAAATTAAATGTGATAGTGACCGTTTGGTACAGGAATGGAATGAATTGCGAGAACAGCTGAATGCCTGGGCGTATATCATTCATGATGCAAATGCAAAGATGGAAAAGTTAGCATCAGCTATAGCAGAATGTCAGTTGGCACTTTCAAATATGGAAGAACGAATGGAACAACTTCGACCCATAGAAGAATTAAGATTAGAAGAGTTAACAGTAGCAGTTGATGAAAGTGAACAGTTGAAGGAGTATTTAGCTCGAACACGAATATATGTCGATGATGCAAATGACTGGAGTGGGCAGCTGTTAGCATCGGATATCGAACTGGCATCTGAGCCAAGTGCGCAATTGAAGTCAATCAATGATAGGTTTGTTTTATACTTTGAATTAAAAGTTATATAATGCATCACTATAATAATACTGTTTATACTTAATGTATTTCTCATCGCAAAGCTTGGAATAGCCATATTGACATTTGCGCAGTCCATTAATAACTGCTGTCATTGGTGCTTACAGAAACATTTCTTAGCAAAACATCTTTTGTCAAGTATTTTCATTAATAATAAGTAATCTTCTGGAAAAAAAGCAAACACATACTATAGGTTATATGTATGTATGTATACTGTAGATTAATCTGATTACTACAGAGATAATTATATATATATATATACTGTAGATTAATCTGGTTACTATAGCGATAATTTTATATATATACTGTAGATTAATGATTACTACAGCGATAATATATATATATATATATACTGTAGACTTTACGGGGGAATTAATTAAATGAACTTGTTATACGTTTTGCAATATATTATATTGAAAAGTGGATAGAAGTTTCATGTTGTCATCAGGAAATTTAAATTTATGATCTTGTATAGAAAGTAAAAAAGGATAATAGAATAATAAGAAAAAGAAATTCGGGGAAAATAATTGATTTGTTTCCTCTGTGGTCATTCATTTTTTATGGAAAATTATTTTAACTGCTTTCACTTTTTATTTACTCTAAAATTTATAAATTATTGCTCTTAAATTGATTCGATCTAGTCCAATGAAAGTCAATACTTTTAGTGACAAGCTCCTTTTCTTTTGCATTTAGGAGTAGATCTTAACTTCACTGTAGGAAAATCTCAGGAATAACTTCTCTCTTTATTAAGATCTCTTTAAGTAAGAAAATTTAATGAACACTTTTCACTATTATTAATTGATGAATTTTAGAAGATAACGTGTCATCTGATAGTGTTTTTAAAATTTGATTTCTGAACAAAATGGAAAGCTAAAGAGTATGTCTCATTACTTCGTCAAAGTATACATAATCTTGTCAAAATGTTTCTAAGTATTGATAGTAATTGTTAAATCTTTTCCCGAACTTGGCTCTACATTGAGGACACATTAATGTTGAGTTATTTGTTAAGTTTGTTCATCCCCATTCATTCCCAATTGTTTTGTTTTTTAGGATAACAAAGTTGAAATCAGATTTACGAATTCGTACCGCGGCTTTGGAACGAGCTATGACCGATTTTGGTCCATCGAGTCAACATTTCTTAAGAGACAGTGTTCAGGCACCTTGGCAACGAGCTGTCTCTACTTCTAATCATTTACCTTATTATATCAAGTAAATCGCTAATTTTTTTGAAGCATAGTGTTTACTGCGGTAAGACATACTGAAATTTTATAGAAAACAGTCATCACTACATTTGAGTCTACATGATCGTTGTAAATTGTAGTCACGAAACGGAAGTGACTCAGTGGGATCATCCAGCAATGGTTGAGATTATGGAGGAACTCACCACTTTCAATCAGGTCAAATTTAGTGCTTATCGAACAGCGATGAAATTGCGAGCAATCCAGAAGCGTCTGTGTTGTAAGTTCACTAGACTGCAGTTATTGCTGCAATACAAATGATATTTGCGCTTCGTGAAAATGTATGCTTACTGTGTTGAATTTGAAAAATGTGTTATATTTCTTACAGAAAACTTTTTTCATATCTCAAAGTGATGTATTTTAGTGGATTTACTAACTCTGGAAGATATAGACTTGAGTCTGCGAGCTCTTAATTCAATGCTAGGTGAGCAGTGCTTATCGATGAAAGATGCAGTAATGTGTTTGGTGCCTTTGTTTGAGACAGCACAAGAAAAGTATCCCAAATTGATACACTCCATACCACTGGCTGTTGATTTACTGCTCAATTTTGTTTTGAATGTGTACGATCCGTGAGTTCTAAACATTTTTTAAATAAGGAAATTGAATTCAGCTAGATGCAGAAGATATGCATGCCTATTCCTCTCATTCCAGCATCATTTTACATTATAACAAGGAGCATAAATCATCCTTCTTATCTCTTAGTAGAATAATTAGGTCCGATTGTACAATAACCCTAATCACCCTTTACTGAAGACTTTTACAAATTGTATTTTCTTTTTAGGAAAGCCTTTCATATACTGAAGTGGAAGTGGAACATTTTTGTTTTGTAAAAAAGAGTTAGTTTTGGTCAAATAGAAGTTAGATTAGTCAGTAATAGAAAATTTATATAAACTATGCTTACTTCTTGATGGGTTGATGACCAGAGTTAACTTTCACTTCCTTTCCATAGGTACTCCTTAACTGTCAGTAGCAATACTTAAACTTTACAAGTGACTACTTCGCGTAAGCTGTACATGGAAACTAACCCTTCTCCTACTTCTGATTAGATTATCTTTTGGAATGCATCGGATAGCATCACTAGCATTATTAAGAAACTGATATGCATAATTGCATCACCAATTACAAAAAATTGACAAAGTCTGACTTCGAATACTGCTTTTAATTTAGAAGCAACCTCCAAACTGCAATGGATTTTTTCAGGGCACGTGATTGTATCATGCGGATATTTTCGTTTCGTGTGCTTCTCGCAACATTATGCAATTCAAATTTGGAAGACAAATATAGATGTAAACATTTCATTCTACAGTTTCAAATATCTCCTTCTGGTTAACTTAAATATTAATATGACTAATCAAGTGCCTCGGCACTCCCTCTTTTTGGTATCCTTTTGTATCGAGCAGTTTTATTCAGTTTTGATGATTTAATAAACTTGTGGTGGAGATAAAACTTTGTCTTAGAAATCTTCATAAGTAGTCATTTCAGACTTGTATCAACTTATTGCAAACAATGAAGGCGTTGATCAGAAGAAACTTGCCCTTCTCTTATATGATATCATCCATGTAACTTTGACGTTTCCAATTTTTGTCAAAAATTTTACTTTTGTTTTAACTGAACTATATTGAAAAACAGTTCAGATTTGACTGACGAATCTCTAAACTAATAATTGTACTTGAAATTAAAGAACTGAATCTCAACAACTAATTGCTAGCAGTATAGGATAAAAAGTACTCCAAAATACTTCGCCGTAGTACTCCTACTAGTAATGATGCGAAAAGTTTTTCTTTCTTCAAAAACCTATTTTTTTTTTCAGATTCCAAGATTTTTTGGCGAAGCAGCAGCATTTGGTGGCTCGAATGTGGAACCATCGGTGCGATCATGTTTCGAAACAGCAAAATACCCACGATTGATTTCAGTTAATGAATTTTTGAATTGGTTAAAAAAAGAACCACAAAGTATTGTTTGGTTACCCGTTATGCATCGACTAGCTAGTGCCGAATTTGCTAAACATCAGGTAAAGTTTAAATCAAAGAAGGCAAATTCCAGTACCCTACTTCACTTCCTAATGTGCCGATAAAAAATTGAAAAAAATTTTTTTTGATGAAAATTTCTGCATCAGTAATTTATCATAATGTAAGATAGGTTATTTCCTTTAGTGATCATTCATAAGGCATTTTTTTAACAATAATTTATAATTTAAGCTTTGTGATAATCTATCTTACATTATAATGAATTACTAATACATAGTCCAGTCTAGATTCTTGGCAGATGCTACAGTGGAAGAAAACTTATACAACTGTATGAAGTAATAATTTCATTTTCAGAACTTCATTTTCTGCTTTTTCCTTACTATTTCATGAAATTACTTATTCATGTTTTATTCAAAAATTTATAGGCGAAATGTAATGTCTGCAAGATGTTTCCAATTATTGGATTACGTTACCGCTGTTTACGATGTTTCAATGTTGATGTTTGTCAAAACTGTTTCTTTAGTCAAAGACTTGCTAAAAATCATAAATTATCACATCCGATACAGGAATATTGCTTACCAGTAGGTTTGATATCGTTCTTTCCGACTAATTTCTAAAATAATTTATTTTCTCATTCTATCCTCTTTGCCTTTTATTTTTATTTAAAACTTTTTCAAAATCAAAGCATAGTTTTAGACGACATCAGGTGAAGATGTGCGTGATTTTGGCCTAATAGTAAGAAACAAATTGCGATCAAAGAGTAAGACACGAATCGGTTATCTACCAGTACAAACGGTAGATGAGGGACCTCCGTTGGAAACCGGTAATGTTACTCCTACTAATCCATTCACCGAACCAGTCCACAATCGAATACAGCTTTGTGCTCGAAGGTCACTGTAGCTTAATTTACTCATGCTTTCCCTTATGATAGTTATTAATGTTTCTAACTTCTTTTTCCCCAAAAGTTTCTTAAATTCGAAAAGCCGATTTTCTTTTCCGATATTGACATATACCATCATTTTTCCAGTTGATAAATTCAACAGCTGTCCAGTTCTAGCAAACATAAAAGTTTAAATTTTGATTACAAGTACCAGTCATTTTAGATTATGGAGGGCGCAAGGTGAAAATGGTACACCGATCCCTGCTTCAAACGACACTGGAGAGGAAATGAGAATGAGTATGACAGAGTTGAAGTCACCTTTACAGCTTCTGTCCCAGGTTGAACAAATGCACAAGGAGGAGTTGGATCAAGTACTGCACAAGTTGCAGCACGAAAATAGGTATTTAGAATTCAATTTCCTGAAACTAATTAGTTTTAATGAAAATGCTAAGCACTAAAGCTAGCCATTAGACGAATACATAAATTCAGAGAACTAAAGAAAGAAATTGAAAGACGGAGGAAGCTTGGTAATGCTGTGGGCTCAACGCCGAATCTAACGCGAGGAAGTAATGCAGCAATGTCTCGAAGTGTTACTGATAACATGGGAACTGGACGATCTGTCCCCTCACTTTCTAGCTCTGGCGACGATCAACTATTGAGAGAGGTTAACTTCTACACTTTTGTCATTCTGTTGCTTTCTTCCAACAGTCTTTCTACCATCCATCGCCTGTTTAGGCGTACCTGTTGCGACAGCATAAGGAACGGCTGGAACAACGAAGCCGGATATTAGAAGAACAAAATCGTCAACTTGAAACACAACTTGCAAGGTTACGAACAGTTATTGCTCAAGTGAGTCACCCAGTTTTTTTTTTTTTTTTATGATATATAGGAGCTAAGATGTCTCTACTCTCAAAATAGGTTCAGCAAATCGCAGTGTTATTCAGTCAATCATAAGATTCGATTAACCATGGCATTCATTTTCAAAAGGCCTATGAGGTAACGGATAGTTCAACTATTGTAAAATTGTTTGTGAATCTCAAGAAAAACCGATGTTTCATTCATTTTATTTGAAAATTAAGAGTACCGAGTAATTTTCAGTAGAACTTTCGAGAAATTATATTTACAAATGCAATTTCAGCAACAAAATGCTGGAAGCGAAAATAAGGAAAGTGGTCCGGAAGAGCCTGAATCTAGTGAGGCTTCGGCTGAAGAAGATGAAGGTATTGAGTACGATACAAGACCGAATCGCATGAATTCTCTCATTGCTTCCGTGGATCAGCTCGGTCGTGCAATGCAATCATTTGTCGTTTCGGTTGTCAACGACGGTGATGAAACAAACGAAGATGAAGATGAAGTGACTATCACTGGAATTTACTGAATTAACTTCTTAAGCAATTATATATGCTATTTTTTCCTCAAGCTCAAATCCTATCCAATACTTGAAGAATTTGAAATTTAAATTTAAAGATAATTCCAGATTTCACTTTTATTTAGAAATCTAAATCCGAGGAAGTTTTTCTGATTAAAATATTTCTGAATGTAATTGCTGTTATGTACAGTAAATGATGTCATTTTTCTGCTGTTACTAATATAATATATTTAAGTATCACTGTTGCACAAATCGATTACATATATATATATATAGACTATTCACTAGTAGAGTATGTATGGAAGTTATATTGAACATAATGATAAATGCATAAATTTGTTATTTGTATCTATTAGTGCTCCAAGAAAAAAAGTAGCAAAGTAGAATATTACTAGTGAAACGTCATTATTCTTATTTCCTTGCATCGCTATCGTCAGGAATCTGAGCATGTTTGCGGATGAAAGCGACAGAGAAATGTCGTGCGTGGAAGAATTTATATTGTGACTAAGTGAATCAGTTGGGATGACTTCGTGCATAAAGAAACCGTATAATTTAGGCATGCTAGGATGGAGTTCAGATGATATTGTATTGCTGCTCAGTTAGGGGTGTTGTGTCGTCTTGCATTTTGGCATATAGCGTTGTTTAAGTATCAAATGAGATGATGTTTGTCTACGTAGATAAAGTGCTACAGAATAAGTTACCATCATTATCATATCAGGAAGAATTTGCAGACAATGTTGTATCCTCCAACTGTTGCGGACGATGAGGTTGTAGATGTGCTAGAATCAACAGACGATGAAGTTGATGAGGCTAGTGCTTTTTTCATTTTCCATTAAGTCCTTGCAACATATCACCCTCTTCTGAGCTATTGTTCATTTTGCTGTCATTTAATTTCCACGTGATGTTCCAAAAAGTGTATAAAATCGGTTCCGATAACGGTTCCATTGATCTAATCTTTGACAGTAGCATCAGTTATTTGGAACAATTTATTTTTCATTTTCATACAATAAAAAAGTTGAGCTTTCTCAGAGTGCTTAGGAATAATCAGAAGACTTCCTGTCAGTACCTTCCCAATAGTACAAGAAATGCATCTTAAAAAAATCTTTATACTTGAAGGATTATTTTCGTAAAAAATTCCTTATTTTCTCATTTCCGTACCAGATTTTCTCTCACTTTTAAACACTTTCTTTTCATATAGGTGAAGTCTTAATTTTTCTTTATTCTCCTTTTGCTGAGAAAACAAGGAAATGCTCGTTGCAGGGATTAGAAGTGAAGAAAAAGTGGCAGAAAGGGATAAGCGAACATTTTACTGATGGATTCGTATTCGATTGTGTCAGTGGAGAAGACAAAGGTTGCTGAGGCTGATTCGAAGTTTCATTGTAGCTTAGTTTCTTCGTTAAGTGATATCATCTCTCTCTTCTAAAGTCATCCTTCCTGGCCAGAGGGTCATAAGAACGAACTGTTTCCAATTCCCCACTGTAACTTAATCGTCAAGCCTTTGTAATTGTACGCAAAAAACATCACCTCATACCAACAAACGACTCCTTTATGGAAGTAATAGAAAGGAGCTCTAATAATATTTCAAAAAGATCAAAATGAATACGAAATTATTCGGATGGTTTGAAGGATTTGAAACCCTATTATTTGTTTGATAAGCTTTGTAAGGAATTGTTTTAACTTGTTTTTGATGATGCATTCTCTTATTATATCAACACAAACAAAAATAATGTAGATAATAATTTCTTTGTTTCAGGTCTTACAGAATGTGGTGGCTTTGGAGTTTTGAATCTAAAACTTTTGAGTACTTTGTGATTTTACAGAAGTTGATATATTGAAATGCCTGCAGTCGTATGTGAAAAAAGGAACCAGCAGTACGTTGGAAGAAAAAATTGAACGAGAACGCGCAAAACTTTTTGGCTCCGAATCACTGGAGAAGATTCCTGAACTTGTGCAGGAAATGGAAAACATTTCCGGTACTTTTGGATCTTTGGTTTTGCGAAAAGTTCCTAGCAGCATTTTAACATTCTTTTGAAAACAATGAAATAAGCAAGAAGTATTAAAAAACAAGGCTTAAAAATTTTTTAAAACACTTTCTGAGAAATAGTTCTACTAGTAATATGCGTTTAATGGTCGACGAACATTCAGAAAGAAAACTGTTAATTCCTCATTTAAATATCTATCAGTTGCTTGAATTCTCAGATAATGTTCGTGTAAAGCAGCGAAAGAAAAAGCGATGTTATGCAACAGATAGTTTTTTTGATGATGTCACAAGTAGTAAAGCGCTAAACGCAGAAATAGCTATTGGTTTTGATCAAATGAATCTCTCCAGGGCGCTTCTAAAGGTAACTTGCATATTGAATGGGTTTTGTCGAATCTCATTGAATGCTTCATTCTTTCGTATTAAGTGCAATTCATTTTTTGCCTCGTTTTTTCTTGAAATCAGAGTTTTTTTTTTGCTTCGTTTTTTCTTCGTTTTTTTTTTTTTTTTTTTTTTTTTTCTTCAAACTACATCTTCTAAAATATAAATTTGTCACATTTAAGTTATAATATTTGGTTTTCGAAATTTTTCATCATTTGGGAATTTACTTATCCTCTTTTTTAGGCCATAACAGCATGCGGTTTTGCTGAACCTACTCGAATACAAAGTACATGCATACCCCTTGCACTTGCAGGGCGTGATCTGTGTGCATGTTCTGCAACAGGAACTGGTAAAACAGTCGCTTTCATGTTACCAGTTTTAGAGCGTTTATTGTATCGACCGCAGCAAAAATCAGTGACTAGAGTGATTGTACTAACGCCAACAAGAGAATTAGCCATACAGGTTTGACTGTTCTTGTGGTTGAACAAACTTTTTATTGAAAAAACTGACGATCAAAAGAATTGATGTGTTACCGATTATATTCAGCTAACGTAGTGCCACTGGAAATAAAACTTGATACATATTGATAGCTTATCTGCGTGAAGCACAGAAATCTTTAATCTTGCATGGTGTTTCTGAAGTTTTTTTTTTTTTTTTTGAATGTTTTCCTAGAACTGGAGTGAAAATCAAACACTATCTGCATTTCTTTATTTTAATTTAATTATTTGCAGACATTTCAAGTTAGTCATCAGCTATCGAAGTTTATGAGCATCGATATATGCTTGTGTGCAGGTTCGTCTTTTTCACAAACATAGGAAGAGTATGTTAGTTTACAAACTTTTCCTTGAATTTATTTAAGTGAAGAAATGTTTTCTAAATAATAAATACTAAAAAGTAGTAATACTGGTAATTGATTCAGAAGAACTGCAAAATGGGTCTGCCGTTTTCAGTGTTAAATATTAAAGACGAAGATTCAGTGAGGCTTCCTTATTTAAAATTCAAGACTATCGTTTTTTCGTAGTTGACGTGGAGAAACTTTTTTTTTTGCTGTAACGCTGCATAAAAACAATAACCATAGTTCATCTTAGAAGATTACAGAATAAATTATGCTAGACAAATCGATGGTAATAGGGAGCGTACACGGGCATTTGAATGTTTGGCGAGTAGAATAACATAACAGAGAGCTCCAACAGAGAGCAGAGCACTGGTGTAGAATGCATAGGTGTAGTGCCATGACTGTACCACATGTGATGTATAAATTGGAACTATGAAATGTGTTATCCACTGAGCGGCCGACGCCAGTCCTGTTGCTTTTCCCAGATCGGTAATGTCTACTGCACTGTAACCAAAAATATGAAAGAAACAAAATACTCATTTACGGGGCTATTTTAAAATATGGTTGAAAAAACTACATGATTATATGATTACTAAGGAAAAAGCGAGAACATATCCTACCATTCAGCTTCAGATTTTCGACTTAGTATCAGTATAATGTTTTAAATACAGTTTTTACCTTTTTGCAATTATGGGGAAGTGGAATTGGAGACTCATTTAGCACAAAATTTTTCTTTTGTTTACTGTACTAATCACGATTTTTTAGTGATTTTCCTTATAGACTGATGTCTTGTTGCTTCTGATTTTAAATGCAACAACATACCTCGTGATTTGCGTATAGCTTTCGGCATATGCAACAGCGTAGCATGCTGTCTGAAGGGCAATGACAACAAGTAGCTGATTGAAATTTGTGGTGAAATTGATTAGTGAATAAGCACAGGAAAGACCAATCAGTGAAATAATTAGTACTGTTCGCGGATAGAAACGTCGTTGCAGGTAGGGTAGTAGGAGGAACTGTACCACTAGTAATGATGCTCCCATTACAGTAAGTACTTTAGCCGAGTCATTTGGGCCCTGAAGTCTTTAAGAATCAAACTCTTTCATCGCATTAATTCCATGGTTTACAAATTTCGAAGATTAAGTCTGAATTTTATTTTTGAAATAGTTTATGTTTAATACCGACTCTTGAAAACTTTCTTTCTGATTTCTTATTAATCTATCTTCATTTATTTGTTTTTGTTCAGTGTGTTATAGAAGATGCTTTCCTTTCGACCACTGTTTTGGTAGTATCTTGACAGGTGAATTTTGCTTTACTATGGGCTAATATAGTTCAGTAACATACTTCTCTTAATTATAAGTTCTATAGTTCATATGAAAATTAGCTTTTGAAGGAATCATGTCTTCACGATTTTAAAATGGTGACAAAAATAACCTGCATAAAGGAACGCAAAAGGAAATTCCTGGATATTAATTCGTAGCAAATATAGGCAGCTATAAGCAGTCCTCGCAAAAAAATACCTTCTCGAAGAGCAACGTTATGCTTTATCATTGGCAGATAATCCTGAATATGATCATTAATATTTGTAATATTCTAGATTTATTTTTGCTCATTCAAGGGAAGGTAATCGTTAAAGATAAAAACTTCGACCATATTTGTTTCATAGAATTTTGTTCACGCTACAGATTTAAGGAGCTCTCAGTCTCACATTAAAGGATAAGCAAAGTTAATATTCTTGCACATGAGAATTTTGGAAGAAAATAATTTTAATGAAATCAGTACATTTACTTATTAAATGTAACGATTTAATTCAAATTTATCTTGTTCAGTTGATCTTTGTTATTAACGTAACTGTTACCTGCGGACGTAGTCGGGCAGTAGCAAGCTTTGGTACATTGTGTGTTTGTGGTAGAACATAGTAGATAAATGGAGTTAATGTTACAATTAAGGCAATACCACAAATGAACTGTGATGCACGAAGGCTGGTTTTAATCGCCAGTTGTGATGCAAACATTGGACCCAGTAACATTGCCAAAGCCTGCATATATATATATGAAGTGCTGAGGTAGAATTTAAGGAAAGCAAAAATATAGGAATGAAATGAATTACTGAGCTATTCATAGATACAAAATATTTCGAGCCGTCTCTATGCTACCTTTCGTGATTACCTCAAGTTTTCGAATTTGTATCTGCCAGTCTAATTTAATCACTAAGTTATATCTTAATTTAGGTGACAAAAGGAGTTTTTTGAGCTACCTGTGGTACAGTAAGTCGCATTAGAGCACTTGTTCTTTCACGTTCCGTTGTAATAGTTGCTAAATACATTTCAGCAGTTGCATCCAGTTGATAACCCACTCTTAGCAACTTAATAGAAAGTAAGTTTTTAATATAGTTCTCATTCTTACAATTTGCATTCGAATTGGTTTACTTTATTCGTTCTTGCGTTAACGAACGACAACACTTTACTATTAATATAGTCTTTTGGACATATTTTGACCTATATATTTTTCATTTTTTATATTTTCTGCTAAGTGGGTAGGGTTGAATGCTTCTTTTTTATTATAATCATTAAAAAGGGTTGGCTCACAGGATTATTGAAATAGGAAAACTAATTTTTAAGCACTACTTTATACATCATGGAACAGTTTCTCGCTGTCGTGGAGAAAAACCACGTTAGGACCATCCGAATAGATAATTAGGAGGGATGTAGTGAATTGGTTTCAAAAATTGTCATTCAAGTCAGAACAGATATGCTTTTTGCTTTTTAAATTACCTGCAGAAAAAAGAATGAATACCAACACTTGGCAAAGGCTAGTGCTGAGTAGTAGATCGATATAATGACCGATGAAAACAGAAACATCGTTTTTGGTCCAGTTGAGTCAGCAATCTAAACAACTTCTTTAATAGCATATTTTTTTCCAGCGGTTGCTTTTATCAGTTTTTAAATATCAAAAATTCATCAAAAAATAAGTTTTCTTTTTATTAAAAGAAAAGGAAGTTTTTTTATTAAAAACTTCATCAAAAAATAAGTTTTGATGAACTTTTTATTAAAATATGAATATTTACCTGCCCGACTATAAGGGCACCGATAGCATTACAAAAACTTCCAAATGATTGGATATAACCAATGTCCACAATTGTCATCACCTGAAATTTGTTTTTTCATGTAATTTATCAAATACCATAAACTTTTTTATCCTTTTCAAACTTCAAAAACTTTCCCTTTATTCAGCAAAGGAGAAGAACTTTTCTAGTTCAAAATTTTACGAAAATATCTAAATTCTATATTTGAGTTACATTTAATTCCGAAATTTCACATATATTTCCAAAAAAAAACCTTTTTTTGTAGGGAAAATTAGGTAGTTTTTAATTAAAAGCTACCAAATTTTGTTATTTCATACTTTCAAATTAAGCAAGAAATTAGTTGGGGACTGATTTTTGGTCGAACAGTTTTCGTTTTAATCACTTCGAAAATGATCCTTTCGTAACATGGAAAAGCATTTTTGTTTGGGACAAATGAAACAAAAATTAAATCAAATTTAACGATTTTCTTGCATAGCAGAACCAGTTAGTACTGTTTTATAATAGTTTACATTGTACTGATTGAGTAATCTTTCAGTGTCTTTTATCTTTTGTCAGCATAATTTTTGGGAAATAATTGCCAACTTTTATTTATTTTTGATAGTTGCTTAGAATGTAATTATGTCTTCTCAAGCTTATACTGATTTCTGTAATAAAATTTTGAAAAAGTAGTATTCTGCAGTTTATCAAACTAACGTAAATAGTATCCCATTGCAGAAATGAAAGTAATGTTGTTGTCCACTGAGTACCAATATTCCATAATCCATAAATAATACAGAGTACCAGCAAAATTCGTTGATTTCTTTTCATTACAGTTGTCACTGACGAGTCCTTTATGAGATCAGATGCAAAATTTCTCTTTTCTTTGGAGTAAATTTTATTCTATAGAAGAGAAGAATGGAGACGCATAAAGAGGGAGGGATGGTTGGGCTACTGAAATGAGATGAGATAGACAATCTTCGGGTGAAATTATATAGGTGTTTTCGATGTTTGGTAAGAAAAGGGTCACAGACCGGATTGGACAAGGTATTCGGGATGACCGGAACAAAAAGATTGTAATGATGTGCGAAATGGACCGTTTTTCTGGCCTGCTATGCAGCTGTATTTCACTGAAATGGTGCGGAGTATTGTTGGAATGGATGGGCAAGAAGGTGGCGTTGATTGTGTTCAAGAATGAAATTTGTTGTAGTGACAGGTACGGATGAGTAAGTATCGAAGAGAAGTTTACAAAGTACTGGAGAAAGGGTCTGAGATGAAGCAGGAACAAGAGTTATGAAAAGAATGCCATCAAAGCAATGTAGGGAATACGGGTCGAGTGGCGAGGAGTGTAATGAAACAGGTTTTTATTCAAATTGGGGCAGTTGGGAAGTGTGGGCGTTCAACTAATTTGGCATCGATTAGAAGATGAAGAAAACAAGAGTTTTTCGTTATAAGTTGAGAAGAACACTACTTAAGGTGGATAGAGAAGATCTAAAGCCCGTTAGAATTCAACAAATTGCAGATACTGTTTGAAGGCTTTAATGAAATTACAAGAAATTATATGAGTTTCAGTCATATCTTTAAATCGTCTCATATTATATTTTAATTATGTTTCCTCCCCGAATTCTTTTTTTTTTCTATGTTCAAAAACAATTTGTATATCTTTCTCCTGTATTTTATCTGAGATTTTCGATTCTTATCAGCTCTACAGTTATTTTAATGGAAGATATCCCTAAAAATAAGACATAGTTAATGTAGTGCACTGTTTAATTTTTGTAATTTTTTTTTACTTTTTGGTACTTACGCTTTCGTTGTATCTAATAAAATGATGAGTGGTATCATTATTATTATTAAATTATTGCTATTATTGTTACTAATTATTATTATTATTATTATTACTATTATTATTAATCATTATTATTATTATTATTATTATTATTATTATTATTATTATCATTATTATTATTATTATTATTATTATTATTATTATTATTATTATTATTATTATTATTATTATTATTATTTATTATTATTATTATTATTATTATTATTATTATTATTATTATTATTATTATTATTATTATTATTATTATTATTATTATTATTATTATTATTATTATTATTATTATTATTATTATTATTATTATTATTATTATTATTATTATTATTATTATTATTATTATTATTATTATTATTATTATTATTATTATTATTATTATTATTATTATTATTATTATTATTATTATTATTATTATTATTATTATTATTATTATTATTATTATTATTATTATTATTATTATTATTATTATTATTATTATTATTATTATTATTATTATTATTATTATTATTATTATTATTATTATTATTATTATTATTATTATTATTATTATTGTTATTATTATTATTATTATTATTATTATTATTATTATTATTATTATTATTATTATTATTAGTTATTGTTATTATTACTGATTATTATTATTAACTATTATTAAACTGTTGTAGCATAAATGATTTTCAATTTCCAAAGTTTTCTTTACTCTTCCAAGTTCTTTTGTTGAATGCTTGAGGTACTGAAGCTCATTTCACAATTCTCCGCACCTTGACCTTTTACATACATTGCGAAAATTTCTGTTTTTTACAAAGAGCCCATTAGAAATATTCCACACAAGTTTTAGTTTCGACTGACGATTTAATGGGTTAGTCACCCATGAAAACGTGGGGAATTTCTTTCTTTATTTCTTTCAGTTTTAGGTGTTTGTTCAAAATTTTTTAGAAATAGTAATTCAATTGCTGTCAGAGTTTTCATAAATAATTTAAAGGACAAGAACTTATTTATATATCTTATTATATATCTTATTTAGCTTATACGCAAAATAAAAAAATAAAAACTTTTATCTTTAGCAACATACATCAAAGTGCAATAAAAACTTTTATCTTTAGCAACATACATCAAAGTGAAATAAGCCTTAATATCCTAAGCATTCATCAATCTTTCATGGCTTAATTCGATGTCTCTAAATGTATTCAACTCTGATTATTCATTTATTTCCATTTTCATCAATAATATCATCATATCCATCGGTACTGTCATGTGAACAAATATTACAAGTTGGATTAGTTTGTCTCCATTTTTAAAGATTCTTTTTAGTAAATTATGTTGGTAATTACTATCGCGCTAGTGATTTTACAAAACTTAAGTCAGGAAATTGTGTCTAATTAGTCGTTTTCTCTACTTTTTTTTCAAAGTTATATAATGGAATTTGTTAGAATGTCGGCACAAAATTTCTTTTTTGCAGTGTTTTACATTCGATAGAATCAATCCCAGTTGTATTTCGGAAGTGAGCGATTAAGTAGAAATAATAGTAGATTAGTAGATAGTATGAATTATTTTTAGATACTAATTCAATAATATGTAAAAAAAAAAATTCCTTTTTTAAGGATTCTACAACAAACCAACTGTATACCAAAAATTTCCTTGCTTACTGGAATGCCTTTTATATAGCTTGACTTAAATATGTCATCCTCCCATTCAGTATATACGAAACATCTAAGGCAAGCTATGGAGAGGTAAAGCTGTCTATAAGTTTAACAGTTTTCAATTGAATTTCAAAAAATTGTCAACAAACTTTCTTGTTTTTCCACTCAATTGGAATGGTAAAGTGAATATAATGAACTCAGATGAAAGAGTTGAGTTATTGCTAATTAACACTATTTCCCTTTCAATAGCTATAATTTTTTGAATTTACGATCTCTGATTATTGAGATATCAATTCTTCATGATATCAGGCTCTTTTAATACCGTTAATTTAATACGGTCTTCCTACTAATGTTTGCATGAAATGCTTCCCCACTTTTAACAGACGTTGATAATCAGGTTTAGGCTCAGCATTTCATCACTGTTCCGTAGATGATTCTATTTAGACCTTATTGTAGCATCCTTCATAATTTGAGATGTTTTGTTCATAGCGAATAATATGTGTGATTTAGAGGAAATAAATCCCATTGCTAGTAAAAGACCAATGTTACTAGCTAATAGTTGCATTCTAACAGTGGGAATGATGAAAATATTTTCCGTCCTTCTTTTACAAAACAAATAAACTCAGCTGGAAAAGAGAAGGAGGGACTGGATTATTTTATATTGTCATATTTTGAATTTTTTTGGAAAGCATATCGGATTATCAATATGATTAATAATGAATTGGAGAAACTTGTATTTAAAATATATACATTAAAGGTGGTTTGGATTTGAAAACCCAGGAAGCGGCATTGCGACAACGACCCGACATTGTAATCGCTACACCGGGAAGGCTGATTGATCATCTGCATAATGCGCCTAATTTCTCACTTGCTGATGTGGAGGTATTTTTTCAGTACTGTTTTCTAATTAATTTAATTTCCAAAATGTGAGAATAGTTTTGAGATAGTTATTATAGGATAGTTTCGTTTATTTCTGTATCACTTTGTGGAGTAGTGTGTGAAACGGATGGAAGTATGGTGGATTTTCGACAGTTTGATTTCTTAGACCTTGTATCTTGGAAATCTTTACTTTTTGAAGATTTTGGTTCTGGATGAGGCAGATCGAATGTTAGATGAAGCTTTCTCCATTCAAATGAAAGAAATTATGCATTTATGTGCGCGAAATAGACAGACGATGCTATTTTCGGCTACTATGACAGATCAGGTATATGTTTCGAATTCCTTATTTTTTCTGTTCAGTTTATAACAAATTGTCTTGTGCTCAACTGCATTAATATGCATTATATAATATAAGCACGTAAGGGTGATAAGTATACTAAGGCAAATAATGGTGAGGATGTGAAATCCAGCTCTTGGCAGATAACTCAGAAGTCTTTACCAGTACAATGTAAAAGTGTAAAAGTTTTCTTTAATATTACAATTTTGATGTACAGTTTAATTCATTGGTGTCAACTAAATAATATTTTGAGATCGAAGAGTTAGCGGCTGTTTCTTTAAAAAATCCGGTAAAATTATTCATCAGTGGTAATACGGAAACAGCTTTAAATCTTCGGCAAGAATTTGTACGTATACGGGAGAATCATGAAGCTGACCGGGAATGTATTGTAGCAGGTAACACAGTTTTTTTTTGATTATTCCAGAAATTCTTTATCATGTCATTTTGTCATTTTTTTAGGTCTAGTTACACGGAATTTTCCTGACCACACAATAATATTCGTGAAGACGAAGAAAGCTTGTCGGCGACTCCATATTGTATTGGGTCTTTTGGGAGCTAAGGTAAGTTGTTTGGAATTTTTCCGTTTAAGTAAATTTTTTTTTATTCAAATTCAGCTGAATATTTTGTAATGGCAAGTATTAACTGAAAGTCTAAAAGAAATCCGGTCATTTGAATTTGTACACAATCCGTTTTGAATACTGCTTTTTATTCTGAATGCTTAACTAAACTATTACTAGTTGGATGAAACTACAACGTTCAAAACGTAAGATGATTCATCATATTTAATTTTTTAAGGTTGGTCAACTCCACAGCGGTTTAACACAAAGACAACGTGTTGAGGCGCTGTTTCGATTTAAAAAAGCTGAACTTGATGTGCTAGTTTCGACGGATCTCGCAGCTAGAGGACTTGACGTGGAAGGAGTCAAGACAGTAAGTTCTGTTTACAAAATCGGAAGGTAGGTAACTATACATTCTTTCGAAGTTTAATAAGATCGAAGATTTGGAAGAAAGGAACCCATTGATTGTTTCGTTATTGATTGAGCCGCTAATATTCATACAGTGTTTTTGCAAATAGGTCATTAATATGGATATGCCTACTACGCTGAAGCAATACATTCATCGTGTTGGTCGAACTGCTCGGGCAGGACGTGTAGGACGATCTATTTCTTTGGTGGGTGAAAGTGAACGAAAAATTCTAAAGGAAATTGTAGCTTCAAATAAAGAAGGTTCCTTGAAGCAGCGACTCATAAGAGCTAGTCAGTTTTTCAGTCTTCTGCTTTATACAGAATTGGTCCGTTGAATTTTATAATAATATAGTTCTTTTAATTCGTAAGTAAGAGATAAAACTTTTCCTCATTACAGATGTGATCGATGCTTATAAGAATAGAATTGAAAGTTTAAAAGAGAGTATTGAAAAGATTAAAGAAGAGGAAGAAGTAGAAAGAACTCTGCGACTTGCGCAGGAGGAGTTACAAAGAGGTAAGACAAGACTGGAAGGAAATACGGAGAAAAGACACTGGATAAAGATGCAGAAACCATTGCTTAATGAGAAAGGTAAAATATATTACATTTGAGCTCTTGCAAAATATGCCTGTCAGCTTCATAATAATATTCTAAAACGAAATATTTGTATCTTCTAACAGAGCTGATATAGAAACTTTCAATTCTTCAATCTAAATGTTAGTCTACTTGAGATCAAATGTGTTCACAAAGTTAAAAAAATGGGAAAAGATATACATTGGGTATGGATAATGAAAGTTTTAACGATATTCTGTATAACATCTTTCTCATTTCAAGATGCGAAGAAAAGTAAGAATCATAACACTAGCGATGATGGAAGTGAGGTAGAGTTTTTTCTTTAAAGCTGTGAAATATTACAGTAGCGGCTAGGTTTTATACAAGCTTTAGTATTTTCAGCTTACGAAGTTGAAATGTTTTATATGGGTAGTATCTTCCGTACTTTGACAATGATTCATTATGGCCTTTCAATGTTAGTGATGCAATATGCTCAACCTCTGTACCTCTCTTTCTTGCTGTTGTGCAGCCCACTTTATTATTGAAGCTTACCTGTTCCCAGTTGCCAAATAATTTAATTCTTTGGTGATTATTCCTGTGTAGGAAGAATTACGAGCTCGACGATTAACTGAATTTCAAGTGCGTTCAGCGAAACGGGCAAGGAAAGGGAAAAAATTACAAGCATTTTGCGAAAACAATGATCGCCGTTCGAATGAGGGGAAGAAGCGAAAATTGAGATCGTTCACAAGCGAATTAACAGATGTGAGAAAGAAGGCCGTAAAACGATTTAGATATGGGTAAGCAAACTTGAAATTGTGACGCAACTATTACTAATCGTTGGAACTCTCTTGATTTTCTGGTTGCAGGCCTGAAGATTCAGATTTCAAAGCAGTAAAGATGAAAAAGAAAAAAGCACGAAGAATCGTAAGTTGAAGACTACCGAATTTTAAAATTTAAAAATGTTTTAAAGTTTTTTGCTTTTTCAATAAAAGTTGAATTTGTAACATTTAGTTTTTACCTTATAAGTCAGAGTAGGTCTCAATAATTCAGTGAATTATGCCTACCAAGGAATGACTCATTCATTGGTAAAAAAAAAAAAAACTTATATATTTTAAATCGTATCACTATTTGGTTGGAATTCAGATGACGCAAACTTTTATAAAATAATTTGACCAAGAAATATGCTGTGTTTCTAAAGCAAATTCATACTATTTTAATCATCGTTCTAAGCTGTAGTGGATAGTCTGGAATAGTTTCAAACATTGTTGATATCTTTGAGTAAAATTTAAAGGATGATAACAGTGGTATTTCCAATAAAAAAGGCTACCATTAACACATAAAGGAAAAAATGGATAAACATGGTAAAGAATGGAAAAACAAACATAACATTAAAGTGCTTTATTTAAGAGCATTTGCTATAGGTCACTTAAAAAAAACCAAACCGGAAATTCAAGCCGAAATGAATGCTGATGGAAAATGAATTACTGTGCCACAACAACCGAACCCATCTATTTGAGATAAATCATTCACAACCGCGTTGATATCGCCATCGTATGTGTCATGAAAAACGCAACCACTTTCTGTTTCTGTCCAATTAATAAAGTGATTCATTCTAACTGTAATCATCAATTTAGGGCGTTTCAGGTTCAGACGCTGCAATATGTTAATATCCGCCTAAAAAAAAGAATTTTTCAGTTGCAAAAGCTTACAGAAAATTTATACAATAATTTTCACGAGTCATCGCAGTTTTATCCCTATAACACGACAAGGAGTCACGTTCATATCTCGTTATCCAGAAACTTTTAAAATTTTTTTGTATCTGTGCTTGTTTACTTTGGATAATGAATATGAGTGCAGCCAAGCAATGCAATCCAAACACTAATCTCTTTCTACCCATCCAGTGACCCTGCCAACAGTTTCTTCCGACAGTTCAGATATTGATTTTGAACTAGCAGTTCTCGCTATGAGACTTCAAATTTGTAGGTTTTCAACAATTTCATGTAATAAAAAGTGAAAATTCGAAGTTCAGTAACTGTTAAATGTAGGGTAATTTATTTATTTATTTCATTTGGATAACGGTTCCACAGAATTTTTTCATTAGTAATAAAGCTATACCTTATTGTCATGAAGTCTGAGGAATCGTAATTTCGGCAAATTTTCATCACACAGATTGTCCCAAGCTTTATTTTCATAGGAATTACCGATTTTACTTAAATCTAGCAAGACCAGATCACTAAAATGAGACCCTTCAAAAAAAAAAGACATTTACCCTAAAGAATAGCTGTACAAGTGATGGTAAAAACTAACAAATGTATTGAAGTAAATAAAAATCATTAGGTTCCGAATTTTGTGGAAAGCCGTTAGCAATCGCTCTGAAGCGAAAATTCCATTTTTAAATTTTTTTAAAGACAACTAAGTGAAACAAGAAATAAAGTTTGTACTAATAAAATAAGATATTCAGAAACTGTACTCTCCACTGCAAGACGAGTAAATTAATAAATAACAGGGCGTAGCAAGTATAAAAATTGGATATGAAATAGAGAAAGCTAAGGAATTACTTGAAATTTTTGATAACGAACTGAACGATATTGTTGCCCATAAACTCATTGCGTTGCAAATTGAGCGTTCGCAGTTTTGGGCAACTAAATTTGGTATTTCATTACATAAGCTAGGGAATTTTTGAATGATTATGTTGTAAATTTATTAGCAAATATCACCAATTTGAACAAATCAAATATAATCTTTTTTTCCAAATATAATCTTTACTAGTTCATTGCAGTTTTACAAGATCTCTTTTCAACTCTACCAAAACTGCTAAGACTACTTGAATAACAGTGACATAACATACTTTTTAGCAATGACCTTTACAAATTCCGCACTGCACATCTGGAATTCGGTAAGAGCTAAATTTCTAAGTCTATACGGGAATGACTTTTCCGGCTCTTTATCTGGTAAGGTAAATAAGTTAATCATTCCTTCTGTAGTGAGGTTACAGTATTGATCACCACACGCTAAACGAAACTCCTCCAGATTGCATAAGTTCTGCAAATCAGAATGCAACAAATCTGATAACAGTGTAGCTATATTTTAGTGTAATAAAACTTGTGGTGAATAAATTTTCCCACATTAAAAACCGGTTAGAAGTGAGAAATTTAAACTTTTTTTAAAAAAAATAGGACATTCTGCGAAATACAGTAATTAATAATCAACACGCAACATCGCAATCTTAATTTGAAGCGTATGAAAAAATCCATTATCCTCTTTCAATTATTGTCACTCAGTACAGCAATCAAATTGATTAAATAGAATTTTATGGACAAATTTCACTTACCTTCAAATGCAAAATATCCTCATCATCGGTATAAAGACACATATCCAAAGACAAAAGTTTCAAATTATGCAAAAGACCAATGTAGCGAAAATCGTGATTTGTAATGAAATATCCAAGATAAAGTTCGGTAAGTGTTAATCGCCATGGAGAAATCCTGATCCCATAGAAGCTAATAAATAACAATTACAGGTTGCCTTACATTTTTATAAGTCGATTGAGACCACTGAGAAAACCGCTCCACCTTAGCTTTCTAACAACTATATTGGGTACAAATCTTAATGGAAATTTTATTCAGTAATAAAGGTTATGAATCACATACTTCTCAAAGGAGGATTTAAATAGTCTAGAAGTTTTCGGGAAAAAGCGAATCGCTTAAGTCGTTTCTACCATGAACAATACTAAAAAAAATTTTGGGTCGTTTCAATTTTCGAAATTTTCGGTTATTTAAGAGGTATCAAGTTAACAGCAACGGACAAAATAATTTTTGGAAAAAAATTTACTTAATTTTGGCTGCCCCATTTTCAATATGCAATACTTTCAATTGTCGTTTCCAAGACAATAGTTTCATGTCAGCCCCATCCCAATATTCATTCATATCACCAATAAAAAAATTTTCGATTTTCGGGAAGGTATTCTCATTCTCAAATAACAGCCTCAACATTTCATTCCACTCCCCTGAACACTGAACACGAGAGGAACACTGCAATGTTGGTATTTGAAATCACCAAAATCCTTATAAACCAGTGGCTTTTTCAAACTTTGCAGGACACTAAAGCGAAAAAATTGAACAAGAATAGCAAGGAGTTTCCAGATAATTTTCAATATAAATCATACACGCTTGACACCTTCCATATGTAACGTATCAAGATTGGGAAAACAATCAGATAATTTCTTCAGCAATGCTGCATTCATTTCTGTAAAAGCCTAACTGAAATTCTAACACATTAAATATCATAAGCTAAAGAAAAATATTAAAAGAAGTAAATATTACAAAACCCATGCAAGGTGTTTCAAATTTACATGGATTCTATTCCTAAAGGTGTCTCGCTTTAAAGACTTATCTTTCAGTGCACAGGAATGCTTAAAAATTTTGCAAAACAACAATTGTCACTACACTATATGAATTAATTTTAAGAGAAGTTGTTTAAGAAGGAAGTTTTTTAGTAATTTTAATTCAAATGTCCTAAAGGAAAGTAAACGATAACCATCAAAAGAACTGATATCGAGATGGGTGACGTTGGGCATGCATATATCGAATAAGTTGCTAACTTGAGTGGATGGCAATACCACCGTACAATCGATGCAGAGTTTGCGAAGATGGTGAGAATTCTATGAATATATTCACAAGCATAATTCCAAAAACACAAATATTGACGAGGAAAGTGAAATTAAATGTAAATCTAGTCCCAATTCTTGTCTACGCTTAAGCATCTTGCTGGAATTTTTGGAATTCAGGATTTCATATCATGTCTTGAATATAACATGCTGACGATTGCTAATCGAAACTTTTTAAAAGAACTTTCTAGCAGCTTCACACTTCTTCCTAACTGTGCTTTCGCTCATTATTTCTATTTGTCACCCCGAATAGAGGTGCTGATCAGAAAACAAGCATCTGGATGTCATAAATGATACGAAAACCTAAATTCTATTCTGAAAAACTTAATTCTGTTTTGAAAAGTCACTGAATTGAAAAACACTCAATTTCTGTTCTATTCTATACTCAGACGTTCACAGCTGTAGAGAGATGTATTAGTAATCTATAAAGTCCGAAAAGTACAAACATTCTCAAGCAACTTCTACATTATTTTGGGAAAGGATAACAACAGAATTTCACTATTTAATTATAAATTAAATAAATTGCTAAAAATTTGACAGGATTAAACAATATCAACCTTAGCAAAAAATTCTTTGACACTTTTGTATGCCAGTGTTCGGTAGGTAACCAGAACTCTAACTTCGTTCAAGAGAGTAGAGCTGTTTGCTAAATTATTCCAACGGCGAGATACCAAGGAAAAACAATTAATCAAATCGATCGGATGACAGTAACCAAATATCATCAGTAGTATATCATCCGGCAAATCGTTTATTGTAGTAAGTACTCCCTGAATGAGTTATTGGCGCTTGTTTCTCGAAAGAGTTTTTTAACAAACTTTTCCAAAAGATAAATGAGCTCTCAAATAATTAGTACACATTTTTTTTCATAAAATATATGTTCAGAATTAAAAGTACCTGCTCGTTTCCAAAATTTTGAAGATATTCTTTTTTTCTTCCTTTTGAAATCTGAAAAAAACGAGAATTATTTTTCTTTAAATCAGCATTACAATACCACAGAGAAAGTTAAATCAACATATGGAATTACCTGGCGGTGAAAAGAGACTACTTGACAAATGTGTCTTCCCATTTCATCTTTCAGCAGTGGATAATGCATCTGTAAGCAGGCAGCACTTTTCCTGAAATCAAAAACTTCGAAAGGATATATGGTATTAACAGAGTCAATCTTATGGTCTAGATTCTACATGTTGTTTTTTGTAATAAAAGGGAAAATTATCTAGATTCCACATGTTGTTTTTTGTAATAAAAGGGAAAATTACGCTTTGAAAAA